CACTGCAGTGCCTACACAGACGATCGGGAGAGATTCGGGTGATTGTCAATTAGTTGCTGCTATGTATGATGGCGTTGGTTGGTCGTTCTTTTTCACTGTACAGCCGCAGACACATTCTGACAGCACTTCAGACAGCAGCTTTGTGCCCCGCCAGCTGCTTGTTCCATGCCTACCATGGTGTTTTTGTACAGACAGCACTTCAGACAGCAAGTATGCTGTAGTCGGCAATCATTCGTTTTGGTACAGAGTGGGACAGGTAGGGGGTGATGTTGCTGTAGTCGAACGGTGAGACGGACGTGTAGTTCAGTTTTGGGCACGCGTACGGTGCTGCAGGGATTATATATAGGTGTAGTAGTACCTCTTCGGGCTCTTGTACACCTTTTTCTTGCTACGTGTGCGTGTTCTTTAGATCCTCAGATGGCTCTAGCACTTTCGTGACCACGGGCTGAGAGTCTTTGCTAGATTTTGGCATTTAGCAACTGACATACGGTTTGACGTGAAGACAACAACAACAACAACAGTGTCACGACGAAATCGGGACCCTCAACAGCATCGAGCTGTCGCTAAACCGGGAAATAGGGCCATTTCATTGGACGAGAGAGAGAGGCCTTGTTACAGAAATATTCTTGATCGGGTTATTATTGTTGTTGTTGTTGTTGACTTCATTCACATTAAACCGTATTCCAGTTGCTAAATGCCAAAATCTAGCAAAGACTCTCAGCCCGTGGTCACGAAAGTGCNCAGTTGGTTCCCGACGGATACACGCTGCGCGACAAGCTCAGCATCGAGAAACAGAAGCCACGAAAGTATCGGTTAGTGGTGCACTCAAGGTCGCGAGCCAACAATACTGAGTTGAAATGGCGGAGCCGCTGGATCACGTCTGGGAAGCCACGCGGCCGCGACGCCGTCGCGGAGGGAATCATCATAGACGAGGTGACTGCTGCTGACTGGGATGCCGTTCAACTCAAGAACTCAGCGTACGCCCCGGTGCAGAGCACCACCGCGGGATTCAACAGCACCCGCAATTCGAGCCGCAGCGCCAGCCGTTGGTTCACTACAAGAACCCGGTCTCGCAGGCGCGCAAAGATCGCGAGATCCAAATTGGGG